TTGGATTCTGAAAATCGTTAAATGGTTTATAATTTTCAAAATACTGATCATTCAAAGATTGAACACGACAAATTACTTGAATGATTAAGATATTGTATGATTCTGATGTAGATAAGACTTTGTTTTATATTAACAACATAAACAAAACTATGCAATAATTGTGAAATTATTGTATAATTATGAATGTTATTGATAGTAAAACCAATGACAAACATGAACATCTTTTATATAAACCATTACGATACGGATTGTAAAATGGAAATGGACAGGAAGTTGCCATCTTGGATTTTCACGGCTAAAATGATTTTATTAATATTTCTCAGAAAACTTGATGCAGATTGGAAATGAACAATTGTTTGTGCATGTTCAATTTTGTATCTGATATGGGAAATAATTGACTGGTTCGAGATCTGACAAAATTTGTTCCTTTGTAAATAACTACATTTCTGCTGAGCTAATTGAAATTTATATTATCATATAATGGATTCTGTTTGTCAGTACAACAATCTGTGAGAAAATCTCATTTGTTATTAATTGAATGCGATTCTGAGTTTCTGTGTAATAGATATTCAAGTGTAAAATAGAATAATTATGGTGTTTGGTTAATAGCAGTTTTTTTTCTATTTGTAGTACATCTGATGAAATGAAGTCATGTACAATCGTAAATCTATTTGTTCCATTTCTATTCCACAGCTTTGACTTTAGGTAATACAAGTGGGATAAAGGAATTCTAGGGATATTCTGCATATTTATTGTGTTAGTGAGTGCTGGGAATAATTACAAATGGTATAGATTAGTAAAAGTTATTTTAGGAATAAAACCACCGGGTAGAGATTGTGTTAGTGAGTGTAAGGAACCAGAAATCTGGCCAGGTATTCGCTCGAGTGGAGCGGTTTCTTTTAAAGTTATAGTTTCAAATCACAAATCCCTGCAGGGATAGTGTAAGCGAATGTAAAGAACCACAACCACAGAATTTTCAATTACCCTCAGATCATAACTATACATGACACATGGGGATGTCAACAAATTATTTATATAACTTTACGTAGATAACATGATATACAATTAGCAGTTGGAATTTTATTACAGTTGTAAGATTTTAGGTGTTTGCGCAGGACTTTCTGAATATGAAATCTAAATTCACACATCTTTAGACGTACATTGTTATCTGTAGTTATCAGGCTAACAAACGTTCACATAGTGGGAACAGTATAGTAGACACTATCAATATATACGCGTCTTATATCAGAAAAATGGTCACACATGAATGAATAGGGATATTCATCACCGATTTCATCAATATTACATAATTCACATTCCCTATCATTCCTTGTAACATCACTCTATTTGCCAACCTCAATAGGGAGACGATGGTTTGCCAATCTATATTTTGTTTGACACTACCTACAACAATTTTGGATGTTAATTGTTAATTAGTCTTTCTTGTTCAACTCAGGCTTAATAGTTTATAAAATAAGCCTTTGCTCGAGTTTTCAACAGACCTTAATCAAGTTTGAATACGTTGATCGTATAATCCTTGTTTAATGGCATGTTTTAACAAGTTAGTCTTACAAAAATGACTTGCTGACTGTGCCAATTATAGCTTTTGCTTCGTCATATATTATTCAGTTACAGTTGCTCAGATAACTAAGATCGTAACCGAATTACTTTTTGTTGATGAAAAGCTTGACTCATAACATTTTTGCTAGAAATTATTGCAGATAAATAAAATAGAAAAAATAATAAAATACTTCGAGTTGATTAGTTAATTCCTTTTTCAAACTCAGTCACACTTTCATAGAAAAAAATCCTCTCTTTTATCACTTTTTGTAAAAACATTGGCGTTGTTTTGTGATTAAAACTGAGTGCAAGGAGTATATTGATTAAGGCCATGATCGAGGTGAATTGGTTATCACAACATTTCTATGAAAATGTGTCGCCACAAATTATTCACATTTCAACCAGATATTATACACAAAAATGTTTTGCATACGTAAATAGCAGAACAAAAAGAAGGAAATATAAATGTGGAATTTTGCCGATGTCTTTAAATGCAAAGAATTGTTCACGACGTCATGTAACCTCATTTTCATAGTGTCGAGGACAACCAGGCACACTGTCATAGACAAATGAAAAACTTGCTGTCGTTGTATTGTGGCTAATATGTTAAATGTGCTTTATCTTAATTTTCCTTTAAAAAATGATGCGACTCCGTTTACGGCAGTAGGATAGCTCAACATTGCTGGGTACACCATTTTAAAATCGTATATATATTTTTATAATCAGCTGTACTTTATTCATGAGTACAAAAGTTGAATACTATACCTTGCAGTCAGTGAGATCAGCACAGTTCTTGAATAAGAAGACAACATGAAACTGCATACTCATTACTAGAAATATCATAAAGATGGAATCAGCATTTTTATTCTTTTAATGTTTAACTATTGTTACAAAATCAGCCGTTTTATCCAGAAACATGAAAATATTAACAACTGGTTTAATTTTCCAGGTGATTACAGTAATTCCAATGCTCGTGAGACCCGAATCGTACGCAATGCTAACATGTGAACGTATACGACTTACGACAGCAAAGAAAAGAAAAATATTAAAACATAACCTTAACTTGATAAAACATGAAGGCAACAATTACACTCATTATTAGAAAAGTGGTTCGTGATCCAGTAAAACTCATTTATAAATACTAAATATTACAATACGATCTTAATAAACTAGACCCTCATTCGTAATCAATTTAAGATTAATTTATCCGGATTGTCTCACTAATACAGTTACAGTCCATGCGGGTGCTTCTCAGTATACCAGTTTCAGTATCCAGGCCCTAGGTGTTCGGTGACTGGATAGAGAAAAACAGTGATTAGTGATTAATAATGACCTTTTCAGTTCCAGTCTTATAGATTACCGTTGCTGTCTATGTGGACATCCTGTTGTAGACACTTACCACTATTTTTTTGTTTATAATAATTTTGCTGACCAGATATAGATTCTCTCTCTCTCTCTCTCTCTCTCTCTCTCTCTCTCTCTCTCTCTCTCTCTCTCTCTCTCTCTCTCTCTCTCTCTCTCTCTCTCTTTATTTAAACATGTCGTATTGTCATGCTAATATGTATTTTGTCAAACTTTATAGGAAAAGACTTAATATAAGTTAGAAGACTTGTGCCCAATCCTACCTGTATACTTGATGCCAATAAAATATGTTTAAATCAAAGTGATTAGTGAAAATTTCCGAACGGGAATTAGATAAATTTGGAGTATTTTTTTATCACTTCACAGCTGTAAGGTCAGACTTCTATGTTTTTAGTGTTAATTTAGCATTTAAAACTCCTGTTTCTTCGGTGGTAGCAAGTTGAATGTTTCACTAATAATATTGGTTATCACACTGAGAGTCAAAACAAAATATTCATATGTTGTAATAGTCCGGAAATATGGGATGAATTAAATTATTTCATTATTATTCATATTTTTTGCAAATTATTATCAGGTTTGAAAAAATAAGCCAAGCTACAGGGATTATCGTGAACTGGGCACAAGCAAACCTACTTTTAATAAATATATAACCAAGAATGGTGAATGGTTTAATTGGTGAAGAATATTAGTCTATTTAAGACCGCATACTGTTGTAATGTATTATAGATTATTGATGTACTTATATATACTTAAATTAACATTGGACATAAATGACCCAGACAAAGACCTAAACAGAAATAGGGGATTACATATTGTACTTTAAATGATATTGCTCTCACCCAGATCGATCAAGTGAAAATATAGAATCAATCAAAATGATCGAATAACTTCTTTGGAATATAGGAATAGATAAATAAATGTTCTTTATCAATAATCTGTTATACAAATCAAAGATTTACTCCGTGTATGACACGACGGACATGAAAGTAATGAAAAATACAAGAACACGTCTGTTCGGTTTTCGCCCAAAATCAGATGTAGGAATGGAAAGAAAGGTTGTATTTTAAAAGGAAGAGAAAATAAACAGCGCATGTCACATGTCAAGTGATCAGTCATTGTCCAGAACATGTACAATATGTAATAGTAACAATAATAATCACGTAATTATAGAGTAGAATGCCTATTCCGGGCCTACTAGATATTGACATCAGACAAAACCGAAAGTAGCCGATGCTTACACGATTGAACACGAAAGTAACCTAATGAACACAGATAAGATACTATACACACAAACAAGAACTTGTATTGCAGTGTGCCACAATTTCATGAGGAGATAGTTGTTCCATACAGTGTGACAGTCAAACTATCAAACAATCAGTTTTCACAAAAACGCGATAGTGATGTATTTTATTCTTCGATGTCGCTTTGCTATAGAATGTATAAATAATTATTGTAGTTTTGAAACTGATACATTGAAATAATAAATGATAATGAAATAATTCAACGTTGTACTGAGAACAAGTAACCAGGATACTGACAGGTATAATAATGTAGAATATACCAGTGCATAATTTCCCTCATTGTGATACAAACATCATGGATGGTTACTACAGTGTCTATTTTTCACTTCTGAAAGAATATTTGATACCGACAAACTTACAATTTACTGAGCTTATATGAATTCTAACGATGTTAAAGTTTTATGGAATTTATAAAGGTTTACCAAAGTCCTGTTTGAAAAAAAAAAAAGTTTTACGGTTTGGCCTCCATATACATTTTATTTTCGTGGAATGTAAACTATTCTCTTTATCCTTTAAACTTGTGTAAAGAGAATATATATATATGCACTATATACATAATTATGATTATGTTTGTTACTATCTCCTTTCGCGGTTAAATATATCAGTTATACCAAGTAGATAAATAATACAGTACCACGTTTAAAATGTAATACAATTATGATATTAATGGTAAAACTATGATAAAATATTTCGCTACTGTCAAAGGGAAATAATCCAAAAAACACATTTGGAGCTCTCTAATGCTAGAGGTTAAAAATATTTATTTTTGGATGATGCTCCGGTTGAAATGTGTTGAAATGACTTAAAAGAATGCTATTTTGAGGGGGCTCTGTTGTGAAGAAAACACACCCAACGGAGATAACAGGTTTTTATTCTTACATTTTCTTTGACAACCTACTGCATGGTATTTTATAGAATGTATGACAAATAGCCTTTTGTTTTCGAGAAACCACGAATTCGCTCAATGGTGGGCCGATTTGGTAACGTTTCTTTTACATCAAATAATTATCGATATTCATTAAAACAACCATCACGGTTTAACCAATGTGCCAGTTTAAAGTGAAAATGATGGCCAGGAAACATGTTCGTAATAAAATAAAGAGATGCTACTCCTTTGTATATATCCAATCGTGCAACAAATAGCACGTCTTTCTGATAAGATGCACGTGAAGTCAATTCGTCTCGATATATATATGAGATGGCGACACCCTTCCATTTGTGTAAGTAGTATTAGCTAATTGTTATATATGATATGTAATTAAATATTACATGCAATAATCGATATTAAATTGGACGAAACACGATTACCTTTATAGTTAGAAAGGATTAAATTCACGAAATTAAATAAGTTTTTTGCACTTTCACTCGTCATTGTCATCGATGGCAAACAGACTTTTGGCAATTTTGCATTTGCGATTTAAAACATTACGTTTTTTTTAGGAAATAAACAGATATTTCATTGCTCTAGTGCAAGTAGTGTTGCCAATCATATGCCTGGCAACTACACTCAACACAGATATGTACACTTGTTATGTGTTTCTCGTCTGCATGACTCCTGTAATTTTTAAGTGTAGATGGAGTTTCACTAACAGAGTCAGTGTTCTATCAATGTTTAACAATGTATGCAAATGAGGTGTAGTTACATGGGTGTGGATTGGGCATTCAAACAATACTTATGGAAAGATGTTATCATTTTCACATTATATAGACTCCAGACTGACTTAAAATGTTAGTAAAATGTCAGAATAATTTGTGTTGTACCCAAATCACCAGAAAGAAAACATTTTTTTATTCAGAATAAATCACCATGGACAACAATCTCCTTGGACAGGCTGTACAATACCATGGAGCAGAGCTAGTCCGATATCTGCATATGGAGGACCAGCGAATTCCACAGACTGTTGTTGACTTCCTGTCCAAATATAGACCCAGACCTCTGGAGATTCCGTAAGTAGATACATGGATAAGTCTTATAAGAAATTAGGATACTCAAGTTTTAATACATTTCAAACTACTTCACAAGTTATCATAATTATTATACTTTTAATACATGATTATTCACAATCTGCAATTCATAAATCAGCAGTGAGCTCTCTAGGTGTTTTTTTGGGGATATTTTTTATTCATTTTTTTTTCATTTTGAATTCACACTTTATCACACAAAACAAATCAATTCACAAAGTGATTTACATTTTTACAGTGGTTCACATATAAACACACCACACGCATTTAGTATGTACAACTATGTACACATAGATATTCACACGGATACATGCTTACACACAATAAACACATCCAGTATATTCAATTATGGAAAAACTTGCTTCCTTTACATATGACAGAATCACATATTAAGTGTAGAAAATACGTTTTATAGATTTTAATGCAATTATATATATATATATTTTTTTGCGGCATCAATCAATTTTTTTTATGTTCAAGCATAATTTAAAACAAAGATGACAGCTCTCGGCCAAATGCATCAGCATTATTATATGCTTGTAAAGGATCTTACTTCAAGTGATTCGAGAGTCTTTGGTGGGGAAAAATGAGTTTTCATAAATTACATATTGATTGAAAGCAAGTTCAGGAGTCTTCTGACCATTTGATTGTTATTCAGGGATATATTGTAGAAAATAGACAGTTCAAAGTCCAGATTTCTAAAGTTAATTTAACAAAATATCTTTGATCTCCATGTTTCATCATCATGCAGTCTGTAAGTATATGACGTCATATCATCATCTTAATCTGATGTAACAATAAGTTATATTACACATGAAGTATGTAAAAATATTACATGGGTATATTCACTGAGAAACAAGGCTTTCATGGAATAATGTTTGGTGTTAAACATATAGGATATTCACGTACATACGTTTACAGGGAAGAGGACTTTCAACAGAAACTGCGCCGGTTCATTGCTCGAAAGTCTGACCTACTGTTCATACCAAATGATCCAAAAGAGGATGAAGCTCATTCTGAAAGCAACAAGGTGGACGAGGATGGTGTGTATTCTACATTCAGCTACAGCAAACCAAAGGCCCCAGTTTAAACAGTATTTTCTTCTTTTCACTTTCATAAATAAATCTTTGCTAAGCCCATGGGTTATCTCAGATCACAGGGACTGTACGCTGGTTACAATTAAAGTCCGGCAGTTGAGTTAAGCATTAGTACCAAGCCCCTGTGTCATGGAATTTTGATGTAGAAAACCTAAGACTATAATGTATACATGTATACAACATTCCTGCATGAAAATAATTCCGCCCATGTCTCTTACTGTTACTTTTAAACATTATTTGAGTAGTAATTATTCAACAACAGTCTAATTAAGAATAGAACTGAATCTTTTACCCAACATTGCTAAACAGAAACGGAACAAGAAAAATTTTCTTAAAAAAGCATTTAACACAACACTATTACATGTGTCCAAAAGTTCAATAATGACACTACATGTTAAAAAAAAATAATGTTCGTTATTACAAAGCAATTTCCTTGAAATGAAATAATGGCTAAGCTCCATTATTATCCCGGAAAAAAATTAAGGTGTTTAGTATGCTCTTTTGAAGTATGCATTACTTCTGCAAATGTTCTCATGTATGTTCTCAATATTTGTGTTTTGATTTAAATCATATTTGATTTGTTTTCTTTTTATACTTTGTACCATCCTAGATACTCCAGGGGTTATGATCACTTTTGCTCTCTGTGTAAATTTTCAATTCAATATTTGTGACAAATTTAATCTCAATGACCTACAATTTACTTAAATCATAGTTGGTTAAATTTAATTTACATATTCATACTGATCGGGACAAGCTTCTATTTTCAAAGAAAATACATCAACCATCATGGCTTGACATGTGTTGTTGAAAGTCTTTGAAAATGGAAACAGTTATAGCGCAACAGAAATGCTTTCATCAGTGCCATTGGCCAATTGTGTAAACTAATACAGTATTAATGATAAAGGAAAGGATATCAATGTTTGTTAACCAAAGCATAATATAATGTAAAAGAACTAGACTCACACTGATAAAGAAGTGAGTGGTACTCGTTTAATATATAGACTTTTTTATGGTGTTATATAATTTAACACTAAAAATCATACAAATGTTCACCACTAATTTTTTACTGGTCCAAAACATCTTTGGTACATACCACGGCAATCTTGCGAAAATATGCAGACATTTAAAGCAAGCAGATTATATCAAGTTTGTGGGACAAGGCCAGTGGAAGAGTTACAGGTAGGTCAAAGAATGGAATGAAGAAAATTATATATATATATATAAAAAATTGTGAACTAGTGCTTAACTTGAAAATAATTAAAAAATTGTAAGAAACACCTTAAAGCTATATATTTTTGTTGAATTTCTTAAAAGAAATATTGATAATAGAAACAAATGTGATAAATATAACAACTATGAATTAATTGGCACATAGTCACATTTTATAATCACATTTGTGGTGATATAAATATAAAAAAAATTCTACATTTTATTTTCAGTGATTAAAGTACTCCACCCTGTGATTTCTAGATATTAAGTACAAGGCAGCTGATATGGGTGAAAAACGAAATTCAAAGGAATTAATACCAAGAACTAGATCCCAGATTCCTGTCTAAAGAATGACAAGTCTTTCTGCATTGGAAGAAAATACAAAGTTTGAAGAAATTGATCATGAGAAGTGGTTCCTTGGTTGTTGTCTAAAGAATGCCAAATCTTTCTACATTGGAAGAAAATACAAAGTTTGAAGATATTGATTATGAGAAGTGGTTCCATGGTTGTTGTCCTAATAATGCCAAATCTTTCTGCATTGGAAGAAAATATAAAGTTTGAAGAAATTGATTATGATAACTGGATCCATGGTTGTTGTCTGAAGAATGCCAAATCTTTCTGCATCTGATATGGAAAAAAAGTGAAGTTCAAAGAAATTGGTATGAGAATTAGGTCCATGGTACCTGTCTAAATAATGCCAAGTCTTTCTATCGTATAATGTCAACGGTGAAGTGTTTGTAGTCAGTCCAAGAAGATTGAAGATGATATTATTTTGCATTGACAAACATTGACTTTAAGAGTTGTCTCTACCTGCTATGACAAAAATTGTTTGATCGATACACAAAGCATCTTAAGTTACATCTATATATATATATATATATATAATCCAAAAGACAAAGAATAGAGAAGAGAAGCTGGTATTTTATTTAACAGGATAATATTTATTACAAAATTTGATTCAGCAAAGAACAGTCACAGAAAACCAGGAAAATATTATGAGTATTCAGCGTTGTCCTTGTTCGTCAACTTAATTCAAATCTATGTTTGATGATTTTATTTTGAATATGGCTTATAATTATCATAATTTATCATGGGTTGACAGTACTATGGAAACTGTCAGGAGGTAGTAAGTTTTACAGAAAAGCGTCAGATTAAATGTCATCACTAAATAGGTTCAGAAAATGATTTACATTAACATATATCAAAATAAATCTCACAACAGAGTTTGATGTTTCAGAAACATATTTATTTGTTACTCATATTTGTAAATGTTTTGATAGATAAGTTTATGATTTATATATGATCAATCATAAAAAATTTGAGGAATGGCACAATCAAAAATTGATTTTAGAGAAATTCTCAACACTAGTTAGCTTTATATCGTTCTGCAGAAAGGATTGGTACACTAAGTTACTGTTTTGTGTATAATTCACTATGGCAAGGTTTGTTCAGTAGCACTTAGGAAGAGGGAGATTACAGCAATAAAATCTTATCTGGACACCATTTCCTTTTGAAGACATGAGACATAGTATAAGTTGAAATACTAGAGGAAAACCCTAAAGAAGTATGTGTCTTAAGATTGTCCACATGTGCCGATCTATATATAGAAATACCAGGGGAAAACCCTAAAGAAGCATGTGTCTGAAGATTGTCCACATGTGCCGATCTATATATAGAAATACCAGGGGAAAACCCTAAAGAAGCATGTGTCTGAAGATTGTCCACATGTGCCGAACTATATATAGAAATACCAGGGGAAAACCCTAAAGAAGTATGTGTCTGAAGATTGTCCACATGTGCCGAACTATATATAGAAATACCAGGGGAAAACCCTAAAGAAGCATGTGTCTGAAGATTGTCCACATGTGCCGAACTATATATAGAAATACCAGGGGAAAACATAAAGAAGTATGTGTCTGAAGATTTTCCACATGTGATGGTATATATAGAAATACCAGGGGAAAACATAAAGAAGTATGTGTCTGAAGATTTTCCACATGTGCCGATCTATATATAGAAATACCAGGGAAAAACCCTAAAGAAGTATGTGTCTGAAGATTTTCCACATGTGCCGATCTATATATAGAAATACCAGGGGAAAACCCTAAAGAAGTGTGTGTCTGAAGATTGTCCACATGTGCTGGTATATATAGAAACACCAGGGGAAAACCCTAAAGAAGTATGTGTCTGAAGATTGTCCACATGTGCCGATCTATATATAGAAACACCAGGGGAAAACCCTAAAGAAGTGTGTGTCTGAAGATTGTCCACATGTGACGTATACAACTTATACGTCATGGATTTAATTCCTGGAGAATCTGGTCCAAACTACAAAGATCTGCTGAAGAAATTTTCTAAATTCCAAGATTTTGGATTGAATGAATATTCAATAAAGGATGTCGGTGAAAACAAAGTCCATTCCACGATATTAATGGCATGTTGAATCTGGGTATGAATATATTTGAAGATACAGTAAAGAGAATGTTGACAGCACATCTATTTAAAAGAAGAATGTTGACAACACAGCTATTTATAGGGAGAATGTTGACAGTACATCCATCTAAAAGAAGAATGTGGACAACACAGCTATTAATAAGAATGAGGACGACTCAGTTATGACAAAAGTAAGCTATAGATTAAGGTGAAATGAGTGTGCCTCATTTCCAATTCAATTTATTTCAATTATTAATTTTTTTAACACTTCTGAATTATAACTTGTTTCGAATTATGTTTTGCCCTATGAAATATGTTCAACCTTGTAAGTACAAGCTTAATATAATCTTAAAAAAATGTGTAAAATGTTCTCTATTAAAGAGCGTCTAATGTTGGTGTTGTACTGTTCAAACCATAAAACTCTTGTTGCTTATAAAACAAAACCAGGATAGGTGTGGTTAACACAGAAAGGGTATTGTCTTTTTACAAGTAATATTGAATATCTGTCTTTATTGTATGTCTTTAAATAGACTATTTGTGTACGATATTTATTCTTTCATTTTTGTTTCTGTTTCAGCCTCAACAAGGAGGTGTTGACGTAATTTTATCTATAAAATTGAGAGTATCAAGGATCCACAGTCCTTTTGTATTAAGTACAGGTACCCAAGTAATGAAGAGACTTGGTAGATTCCAAGTGAAAAAATCTTGGTAAGAAAGCACTTTATCGTATTACTCAGTCAATCTTGGTGCTTTTTGCGAAAATGAACTACAAATTAACAATAGCGCCTGAAAAGTATTTCATGTTCAACATATCCGAGTCACCCTGTACCCACAGGAACAGTTCAGAATGGATTTCACCAATCGACCTGCAGTCTGCGAGGATGGATTTATTTCAACATAAAAACCTGACAAACTGACGTTTGCTGAAGAATCATGATGGAATACATGACATCCAATATAGCACCATCACCCAAGAATAAAGATGTCTTAAAAAAACGACTTTAAGAAGATATTGTCTGGTCAACAAATTGAATTTTTTTATCCTAGCAGGACATTTTCATCAAAGAAATGTCAATTTAATCAAGGTGTCTCACACAATTTCAACATCAACATGATGATAGATATTAGCTTCTGGTCTTAGGTATGTCTGGTATTAGTGTTTTGTTTTTCTTCTAACAGCAAATTAAAAAGGCAGTTATGAAACTGTTGCTGAGTTATTTGGGAATGAAGTTTAAGGTCCACTTATTTTAAAAACACATATTTCCAGAGATATATATTTTGGTGAAAATTTTAAGAATTAAATTTGGTCATTATGACTTTTTAATCACAATAATTTAGATTTGTTTTAGGTAAAGTATTTCCATATGTTTGAGTTTATGTAATGCCAAATATGATATGAAATCAATTCAGGCATATTTAGTATGAAGATAAATCAACCAGAAAGTATTTTCCTGGTAGGTTATTCAAAACACTGTCACCAAAATCTATATTTTTGAAAATTGCTAAAAGTAATTGTTTTATTATTTCACAAGCTATCTCCTAATAAAAGTAAATCCTTCTTTAGCATCTGAAATTTTACCTTCTCAGAAATCATGTTTTAACAGCTGATATTGACAATTACTCTGTTGATCTCTGATTATGATAGTTTTTATCAGAAAGTTTATATTCTGTACCTAATGGTTGGTGAAACTGAAAATTTGTCAATTTCAATTATGGCCATTTTTTTTTTCTGCTACATTTTTTTTTCTTTACATTTAAGCATTTTTTCAACCACAAAAATTGACTATATAATGACAGAGACATTTTTAGGGGGAAAAGTATAAAATATAGGTTGGTTATTTGTTGAGATGTGGTAGAAAAACTTGACAATGTCTTCTTATAATTCATAATATGTATGTTTGTTTCAGACAAATTTGCTAAAATGCCACCGTTGGAATCTTTCATGGGTATTTCATCTATCTACTGTAGAGAGCATTTCTTCAATGTAAGTATGGTTCTCTGCATTTTTCAAATATTTACCACACACTCAGGTGATAGGACAACACAGTTACGTTATGTATTTTTTTGCAAGAACAGTGACTTTTAAACAGACAAATTAAATGCAAATGAAATACAGATTTATATTAAATGCATGATGAACAGTGTCTCTAAACAGAATTAAGCTTTTACTGTAGTCAGTGATTGGATTATGTTTGATCTGGGGTGAGACTTAGTCACTTGACCCTGGGATTAATCTGATGTAGGCTGATGGTAGATGGTAGTGTCTGCAGTCCTGATTTAGCAGGTCTGGTCTGGTGACTGAAATGTACAAAGCCTCTTTTACACCCAGGATCTTGAAAACTCTCTGCACCCATGGAACATTTCATAGCAAAATTGAAGGCACAAGTGCAGTAATTTGATTGGTCTAAAGTATCAGGAGAAATAAAAAATGGACTAATCACAGACTGATACGCACCTTTGTATATCACAAAGGAGAGACACCCAGTACAACACACCGTTTTCTGACCTCAAGATTTATCTTATGTACATCAAAGGATTAAACTAGTCATCTTGTCTTATCCACAAGGTGTCGAACCCTGGAATAGTGAGCATGCAGTGATGAGAGCCACTAAAAAATTAAAGATTTTAGCCTTTAAGCACATCAGTCTTTCCGTATTGCAGTCACTATTGATGTTCCTTTTATGCTTTTGACAGAGTCTAGAGAAGAGAGACTTAGTGGTGGGTGTGGTGTCCTCAGTGTTGGAGAGTGGCATAGTAGTCACCTTATTATGTATGGATGGCGGAAAAGTCCGAGATATTGATGAACTAAAAACCACGGTAAGAAAGCAACAATCAAATTTGACTCTCATGTATTAAAATATTATCACACATATGGATTCATCAAAGTGGAATATTTTTCTAAAAATAGAAATTTACTAGATCTCGAATACCAAATGTTCAACACTGACGATACAGAATAGACAGTTTCACAGAATTAAGAAAAAATAACATCGTATTCTAAAATAAATTTAGAATTTTGTAAACTTCATGAGGATCAATTAGAGGTAATTTTTTTATAAGAGACTTCCAGTGGGGGTCACAGTAGCTGAATCAGTAGAGTGTTGGACCATGCAACCTATGTGAAGATATAAGGTATATGGTTTTACTCTCTAAACTTCTAGCAGTTTGGTTCTTCACCAAGCACAATCTCTGATGACATGGTTAACCTTGGTCAACACACTTTAGCTCAGTTCTTCTGGATGGAATGCAACAGCCACCAGCTTCTGCAAGAGAACTAAGTCTCAAAATGACCCTGGCTGTTGTTTGGCAATGAACCCAGTAAACATAGATTACTATTTTACAATCTCTGTGTGAAAATAACACCATATTCAACATTACAGGATAAGAAATTGCATGAATTATTTTTCAATTATCAAGTATTATTATTATATTTATCCTCTTTAATTTTTGCAGGCTTTCTGTCCCCTCAAGGAGTTACCAAGGCTGTTTGCTAATCAGAGTCCTATTGAAGGATTTCAGGTTAAAGACAAGGTCAGAGGTAATGTTAGAGATTGTTTCAGTCTACAAGTCAAAAAGCACATGACATGTGGTGTGTAGTTTCACATGTTACTTAGGAAAATGTGTGGGAAGCTCGAATTTTCAGTTTAAACTGAATATGTCATGTGAATTCAAACTGACCATGGTGAATGTAAATTTGAAACAATGCCATTTTTTATATCTTATATGCCATAGATATTCATTTGAACGGATTGTTAATTAAACTTTTACAGGGGTGGTCCTGAATGTGAACCAGGAGACAGAGAAAGTCATTGTGTCTATGTTGGATCGATCACTTCCAGAGGAACATTCCCACATCAAATTGGTCGGTCTAGTATTAATTTTTTTTCTTATCACAGTTATCTCCCCATTTATTTACATACTAAGGATAAATGGTAGATAACTGGTGTGTGACTTGGTATTAATAAGACATTTATTTACTACTTAATCATTGTATGATGTACTATTAAATGATATAGACATTTCAAAATTAGAAATTATACAATTTGGTGTTGAATTAATTGTGAGTAAAACTCATATCTGACTCCAGAATCAGATGTGTTAATCAATATTGGTATTTGATACCTATATTTTATAGCTCCCTTTAAGAACTCTATACCATGTCCTGCATTAATGGCGTAGCATATTATAACTATTATATCAGATCATTGTGATTCTTACAGTCAACAAATTTAACAGTAATGCCATATCAAAGATATAGGGCCAAAACCTTTATATGTAATAGTAAGGAAAACTTTCCATCTCAGATGCTGAAATATTTCTTAAGATTATATGTGTTAGCTTTGTATTGGTGAACAAGGAAAATGTTTTGTCCTTACCTAATATATTGTATCACTGTCTTTCAGGGTTTGATCAATGAAGATGACTTTCCTGTTCATTACAGGTAAAGATATAATGATAATTTTATCAAGACTTTTTTATTAAACATCTCTAGAAATCTTTTGAAGTTACAATTGTGATCCACTTGAAACTTGAATTTATTAGATATTGCTGTTTCCTGTTATATAATGTTGTTAAAGAAAATCAAAAGTTAAAAGATAACTTTACATCATAGCCACATGTTGTTATTTAGTGACATGGTCAATTTATTGTATAAGATTCTGGTCAGTGATCGTGTGATATTTCATTCCATGTGTTGGGAAGACGGAAGCTACATATCCGAGGATTAGCTTTTGATGAGCTCCTTCACTCCATCCTCGGCTTCAACAATTCCGGCAATGTATCAAGTCTCTTAGGGCTATTACACCTCTCCGACTCGACTTCCATCATGCGTGGGCTTCACAGGTAGCGTGTAATCACAGAATCTTCTGTGACTTTACTTAATTGCAAGAGATGGGAAGAACAATATGGCAAAAAAGAATATTAAAATGATTTGAGAAACAGAAAGAATTATCTAGACCAGATATTTTTATTTCTTCTAATGAAAAATTAACCCTGTTGAGTGACTAATTTGACAAGATGGCTTAAATTAAAAAAAGTAAAATATCCAAATCATATGCAAATACTGAGTGACTGTATGATAACAAAACTGTAAGAAAGGAATGGTTCTTTTAAATATCTTTTTGTTTTTTTAGTTGATTTTATGACGACCTCAATCCACAAGTTCATCGATAGCAAAATGAAACACAAACTTTTAAAGTTTAATATTATAAGCACTGTTTATCCAAAAAATTATGTACGAAAATATTGGTATTCTTTCATCAAACTACGAAATTTGAGCCTCACAAAAAAAAGATATGATTTCATAATATAATAACGGGACCAAGTTTAATTCACTCTACAAGGTTTAGAATGTGAGGTTACTGATCAAGCATATCCTGACACTGGTTCATCTAAAAAGGTTTAACTTGTTTCAGGAAAACAATCCCAGAAAAGGAGTATGCTGAAAGTTTGAGGAAATACCAGTCTCAGAAATGGGCACACCAAAGGTTTGTCATCCTGATAACTTAGTCCCTTGTCTCAGAAACAACAGATTGAAATTAATTTTTTAAAACAGTTGTATGAATTTCTATAGAAATATGTGCTTCCTCGTTGTTGTGAAATAGATTATGTTCATTTATTGTAGCTTTAAATTTTCATTTGTTTTCATGAGTTGTACTTTTATCTTGATAGTCAGACAAAAATAATATTCTAATTGCTTAAATAATCATTTTTGTGTAATTCTGATAAAGGTGGATTTTTTTTGTGAAAGATTTCTTATCAAGGGGAAAAATTTGTCTTTTCCAGTGTTGCTAATGGTGTTGCCATGTTTAAGGCTGGCAAACAAGTGGAAGCAATGCAGTACCTTAACAAGGCTCTTCAGATTGACGTTAACAATGTGGAGGCTCTGGTTGCTCGTGGGGCACTGTAAGTTGAAACAAAGAAGTCACCTGGATGTGAATTTTTTATTTATAGTCGTTTTTGACAGATGTGCAATTGATAGAGGTAAGTGTATGAAATGGAGGTTTTTTTCCCTTTTGACCAGATGAAATACATTCATTAAAAATACATTAAGAGGTTGCTGTAGTTGTCATGTTGATGTAGAATAAGGATTACGATCTTGTTGTAAAATATCGGTAAAAATCAAACTCCATGGACCATTTGAATTTATTTATTCCTCCCTCTAACGTAAACCATGTTTACTTTCAACCCCATTTAAGATGTTAAGTTGTTTACTAGGTAAAACATCATAAGCGATGGCACATTATTTAAATGAAAGCTGTTTTCTGCAAATAATCAGTAATTAAGTGAGGGGGAATGAACTACAAACATTGTTTTCTGGGTCATTTTGATAGGAGAGAATGTATCTGGAATTATTGATTCTTAGTAAAAACAACTTTCACTGAAGTAAAGTATTGTCAAATATTAAAAATGTTGGGACTTGTGGTTGAGGATTTGCATCTTGAAAAACATAAAGCTTGTCTTTTGTGCGCTATTGCATGAAAAAACTTCTTAACTTTGAAGATAATAAATTTTTATTCTCTTGACATCAGATAAGATCCTATAAATTGTCATTTCCAATTGTTTGCAGCTATGCCAACAATGAGAGCTACAACCTAGCCATCCAGGACTTTGAGCAGGCTTTAGATATTAATAGCGAACACCAGAATGCAAGGAAATACCTCTATGAGACTCTTTTAGCCTTGGCCAAGGTGTAAGTAAATGATCATATATAGTTAACTGAAGAAAGATATATTTATAAATTTCAGAAATTATTAAAAAAAACCCTCCAAAAATACTCCAAAATTTACTGTAAGAATTTAGTGTAGTGTTGTTTTTCATCCTCACTAGCCACTGGTTCTTCTGAAACGGGCAGTAATATTTGTTCTTTGCATGGTTTGAAAATTTTGTAAACTTTAGCGTGTGTGTTCTAGGTTGGAGGACCAGAGTGACTTCGACGGTGCAGAGAAACAGTATCACAAAGCTATGTCATTACAGCCGAACTCTGTGGAAATTCGGGAGCTAATTCGTTACATGATGGTCAGAAAGGTACAAAATCCACAAAAGAAACATTTCTAATTTAAGGGTTTCAGTGTTTCATTTTCACAGAGAGTTTGATACTTTTTACTCTATGTAATACTTTGAACATACTCAATTTGGCACTAAGAATATTTAGCATGTGATCACATTTTGAGAAATAGGATCAAAATCAAGAAATCTTATGACGAAAGTTTTTCAAAAGTTCAAACAAACATCACACAATTTTTTTTTATGTTTTTTCAGGATAGAAAGGAGCGTGAAAGAGCTCTGCGAGGACGATCTCCGTCACCCGTCATCAATCCAGAGAGGGGTTTTGACAAATTTTCAGACAGGAATCAAAACAAAGAAACGTCAAGAACACTGAAAAAATTAATTCAGGAAGACCGATCAAAACATGGGTACATATTACACTGGTCTTGCTTTAGCTACTGTATCATTTCAAATTAGTTTAATAATAAAATCTCGTTTCCGTAAAAATTCCGAAACAACAATCATATCTGGAGGCTGTTTATTTCTATGTGAAGCTGGCAAATCTGTACAACACTAAAAACATGTATATTTTGAGGAAGGGATTTTAATACAAACACCTACAAACTTTGATGTTACTTTTACAAAAAAATAGATTCTAAAGTCATGTAGTAATCGATATTGGTTTAGTTTCATTTCAGTTTCCACATTTATTGTATTACTGGTAGTTAAGTTTTTGTCGTAGTGTAAACCTGTTTTATGCTTTGGAATTGCTGATGAATTTTTCTTCCTGATCAGAAGATAATAATTAAAAGTATTTTCTATTTTATAAGGAATGTTTTTTATCCGTTTTTCCTGTATATTAGCAAGTTGATTCCTATCAGCAGAAGCAGTTTTGAAGTTCCATTTAAAAGTAGACTCCATAGTAAATGAAAGAGATTTTAAAACTTCGAAAATTATTTTGAAATTCTGTTTTTACATTGCAGAGACTCTAGTAAAAGAAAGAGAAGTTCTGGGGGCCATTATTTTGAAGAGAAAAGTCATTCCCGGCACCAACGCTCAGTCTCCAGCAGCAGTAGCAGTAGCAACAGCAGTAGTAGTGGAAGTTCAAGTGACAACAGTTCATCTTCTGACAGCGAGGATTCATCTGCTCCTGGAGATCATAGACAACCACGCAGGGAGAAGGACAGACGTCGCACGGAACAGATGAATAAAGACGCTGACAAGTACATGAATCCGGAGTCCTCGAAAGAAGACTACCAGGCAGAAATGGATCGTAGGTCAGCAGCTAAGATGAAGATTGAATCTCCAAGTGGAGTATTTAATGTTAATCACACCTCGTCCTTTTTATTTGGTGCTGATGGGAACTACAGAACCTCGCCTCCACATGAGGAGAAGAAGAAAGCTGAAGAGAAAGCAAGGGTTAAAGACAGGAAAGATGAAGGAACAAGAGAGAAACATAAAGGGCATTCTTCTAAATACAAGTCCAAACTCCAACCCAGAGATAAGGATGAACTACACAGCAAGAGAAAAAGACCCGAAGAGAAGGAGTCAGGCAGAAGTGGGAAGGATCATCGTAGTTCTCGTAGTAGTGAGCGAGCAAAATCAAATTCAGAACAGAAAAGGAAACGTAGGGAGTCATATGATGATACAAGTGACAGAGAAAGAAAACATGACAGTTCATTTGAACGAAAGTATGACCAGGTCAGTGATAGAGACAGCACGTTTGATAATTCATTTGAAAGAAAACTTGACCAGTTTAGCGAGAGTGGGAGTGACCGTGGCAAAGTTAAAAGTGATAGACAGGAGAAATATCTTTATGAACGTAAAAAAAGCCCTGAAATGGAGAGTGAGATTTCTTACAGCAAAGATAGTACTGATAATAAGGACCGTGAGAAGTATGGTGCCAAAGAGCACAGCAAGAAACATAATGATGAGGATGAGTTGTTGGCTGGTTCTAGAATCAAAGATAAAAAATTACCATCAAGAAAGAGAGACCGATCTAGGTCAGGTTCAGCTCATTCCTTTGAGGAACGGGAGAGGTCTATGTCTCCCGAAGAACATAAAAGGCAATATCTACAAATGAAGTACGAGAGATGGAAGCAAGCAACACAAATTGAATTGGAGAGGAAATGCAAACAGGCCCAGTACAAGAGAAAACATGATAAAAAAACGCCAGGCAGAAATACTGGAAAGGGTGAGGAAGGAAGAGATGCTTTAAATAAGGACAAAATTCAATCTAGCTATAAGGAAGGTCAAGGGTCATCAAGGGGTCAGGGATCATCAGTAGCTGTTCTAAAACAAGAGGCAGTCAAGTCTAAGTGGGACAGTCCAGGAGATGATGTGTCTGAAATGGACAAAGAACGGAAGAGAAAATCGCGTTTTGACACAATACAACACGATAAAAATGATGAACTAGACAAAGATGATTTTGTTAAGACAGTGGTCATCGAAGGAAAAAGAAATGATATTAAAGAAACAAGTAAGAATGATGATTGGGAACAGTCTTCTGAAAGTTCAGATGCTAAAAAGAAAGCGAAACTAAAGACAATGACTGACACAGAAAAGGCACAAGCAAGTCGAGACATGGAGGGGTTGCGGATTCACATTAAGAATGATCACTTCAATGACAAGAAATTGTCTGTTGATGATAATAAAGGACACTCAGGAAAGGAAAGTCGGGAGGGTTCCATCACAAGCAGCCGAGGAACTCACTCTAGTTCACGTCATCATAGGTCTTCCCCAGAGCTAGATAGGTCTAAACGCCATTCAGCACAGGGAGACACAAGGGACGATCATGGGCATTCTAAACGCTCCCCAGAGTCCGAAGGTTCTTATGGAAGTTGTGACAAAGATTATGATGAGATTCCAGATAAAAGTTCAGGTCGGTATAGAAATATGGAGAAGAATTACAAAAAGTCAAGAACTTCGAGTGATTCACAAGATCAACGTTACTTCAAAGGCAGTGACTATAAGCTTAAAAGTAACATTTCTGATAAGAGTGGTGGCAGAGAGTATAAGAAAACCAACAAATACGAATCTCGTGGGGCAGGACGTGGATGGGTCATTAGGGGTAGGGGAGGAAATAGGGGTCAAGGGAGAGGAAAATACAAAGGCTCATTCAAGGACAAAAGAGAATATGTACATAAGAAACATTACAAAGATTATCACAAAGGTCATAAACAATCACGGAACCGTAGCCCTTCAGACTCCAGGTCATCTCGTAGTTCATCAACCTACTCGTCTTCATCGTCTCCGAGTTCAAATAGGAGGAAAGGATCTCGCTCTTCACCGTCTAGGAAAAGCTCTAGTAGCTACCGGCGCAAATCCTGGACTTCTAATCGTTCACCTCATAGTTATGTAGATCCATATGACAAAAGTAAACCAAAGTTTACTAGTGCAAGGTTCCCAAAGGTCAAACAGCCGATACTAGGTGAGCTGGCAATGTCAAGCCGATCAGAATCAAGGGCCCCACCACAACCTGCACCTCTAACAGAGCATGAAGAACTGAAAAAGAAGGAGGTGTTATCCCAACTGGAGAGCTTCCTAAGTCAGTTGAAGGAGAAAAAGAAAGAACAGACATCTACAAATGATGGAACCTCTAAAACTCCAGAGAAAGTGTGACTTGTAGAATCTGGTATATTATTTTGAATCTAGCGATTGTTGTGGTTATTTTCCGAAAACAGTGAATTTAAAAATGTCATGTTACAGGATTGAAAACTTCATTTGGGCACTCTCCTTTGAATATGTCATATATTTCCATATCATTGTCCATGGAGTATGATCTTTTGAGAATTGTTGTTGTTAAAATTTTGACAAAATAGAAAAAAACACCATGTTAATTTTGGTAGATTTTCAGAATATTGTGCTGCATGAAAAATACAGTATTCATTATTTTTACTTATGATCATGTGTTGTGAAAACTTTTCTCATAACCTTTTTTCAGTGAACAATTTGTTCAACATTAAAATATGATTTAAGACTTAATTATGTAATATGAGAAAACTTTACAATTTGTGCTATTGATACTTTTTGTTACAAAAAATTGCTTATGCAGATTTGAGTTTGAGTAATGTGTTTAAAAATGATTGCATTGATTTCATGTACAAGATAGTATGCAAGTTATTTCATCAAATGACTTGTTTGATTTGACCATGATGGCATGTCAGAAGAAATTTCATTTTTATATATATATTGATTGATAGTTTATTTTTTGGATTTAGGTTTTTATTTAAAACTTTTTATAAAAAAAGTAACCAAGTTACAAAGAGGTGTTATGGATTTTGTTTCTGTTAATATTATCTCTAATAGTTTTGTATTTGGCAGATACTGAAGATAATAAAATTCGCTTTCAGAAAGGGCAATGTTTGGAAATTTCTAGGATGATTATTTTGAAATGTATTACCAGATATATGCTTTCATTTGCTCCTCTATGAAAATCCTTCCTTCATTTTTCAAGTTGTTTTTTTTATTTAATTTAATGGTGTGCAGCTCTGAAAAGTTACCTTGCATTCAAATTTTATTGCTGCTGTCTTAGACTATTCTTAATTCAATTTATTTCAATTCAATAGACCTGAGGGTCCAAGAACAGAATTGATGACAATTGAAATAAAGGTATATTAATTAAAATTCCCAGATACACACATATACACAGTTTGTAAGACGGGTATAACATTAGTAAGATAGAGAGAAAGACATGTAACGTGATAATAATCTAATACATAGATTCTAAATGAAACATATACTTGTACGTAATATATGACCTTTAGACAGTAATGTTTGATTTTTAGAATGGAAGTTTGATATCACAAGTTCCAAAAAAGTCACAGTTTCTGAGAAAGAATCAACACAATTTCCTTGTTCCCTTTTTGTATATCATAACTTAGTAAATTTCAGATTGGAAAACTAATTTGTTGACAGGAAGTCTTAGTATATTTTGATTATGAAGTCGTTCGTTATGTATGTTGTAATTTCAGGACAAGTAGCATCAGTCATCTTTCTAAATAATAAAAAATCTCAAATAAATCCAAGATGTCCAAGATGAATGTATTTCATCTAAATTCAAAGGTGTCTCCTTAATCTTTAAAGGTTAGACACATTGTAAGTACAACTCTCAAATAATACATTCCAAAAAGACCTGAAGAAGGGGTATTCACCTTGTGACGATTCTCGAAAATACCTGAGTAAAGTTTCCGAGTCTAGTATAACACATTTTACTCTGACAAAGGTATTTTGAACTTATTTTAAGCAAGTGCCACTTCATTTCTTTTGCAAGTCATTTTTACACCTAGAATTTGCAGTATCAATTCAAAGAGACACTTTTTAGCTGGATATCAGATCACGAAATTCCAGTTCGTTCAAATATAATTTGATTGTTTTAAAAGAGAATCGCAAAAGTTTGACTCTAGTAAATAAATAGGTGTACAGCAAACAGATCAATACAGTGAATTATTCGCAATCAGAATTATGAAAATGATGTTGTAGCTACACACGATCCAAAAATCAAATGTTGGTAGTTTTATTCGGGCTTTTCCCTTGAATGGTGTTTATTTCTGTATAGGAGATATTAATCTATCAACTATTTATTACATACCTACTGTATATATTCTATAATTAAGTTCAAACTCATTCATCCGATCTCTTTGTTAAAACTATTTCCATAGCAAATCCTGACCTTACCAAAAGGAAAGTATGACATAGTTAAAAAAGTGATTATTTCTAATACATGTAGCAGTAAGCCAGTGTCTGATGATAAGCCCACCCTCATTTGTCACAGTTTTTAAAAGAAATCATCAATGCTGAATCGTTGTCTTGAAATAAGCCTGCAATCACTCTTAGATTTAAAGTCTGTGTACTTAGATAAAATGCATTTTGCTTGTCTTAATGTCTTGTATATAAGTGTTAATGTCAGCAAAAATTTATTTTTTCTTAATGTTGGCAATGTTTAGCAGAGTTGTCGTTCCTGGTGTATGGAAGGGCAACACTAGATAGAGAGTGCTATCAGGGTGAAGTTTTAGGACGGAAAACCTCACAGTCTGTGAAAAAAGTTATTATAACATATCAAAAGAGATTCAAGTCTCGAAAATTATTTCAACTTTATCTAAACAAAATAAGGTCTTTCATTTCACAGAAATTATATCTTTTACAATACACCTGTCAGCTTACGTTTTTATTTGTCTTTGTGTACTGATCATGATGGAAGATATGTATTAATTTCAAGCATCACAGAGACTATCCTTGTGCTGTTTTCTGATCTAGTAGGTAGCTGTACAGTTACCCGACATATGTAGCCATCATTGTTCTGGCTACATGGAGCTTAAAGAAACACAAACTGTTTTTTATCCTGTGAAATATGTATATAACAACCAAATTGGATTTGTGTGAGTTTAAAATAAGTTTAGAATTACGCCGGAAGATTTTTTCTTCTGTCTTTGAATACTCTGAAATAATTATGAACGAATTGCATAGCAATGGAGTACTCTGAAATGTTATACTAATGTGTTGTTTGATGTGTATTGACATTTCCGCCCGGGTTGTGAGTAAGTATATCTGGGCTGTTTTGGTTAGGCGTGACTCTCAGTAGGACCAGGCAAACCTGAGGCTTGCAAGTTCGCTTCATCAACCTACTGATCGCATACCGCGCCGACTGGCTCCCCAACACAGGGTTGGTAGTTATTGATGTAAATAAGGTATTAGGTGCAGAAATGGAGGTGACGATATTATATAGATATCTCACAGTCGGAAGAGAATGTCACGATCTGTGTTTTTTTTTTTTTTTTTATTATTATTCTCGTGATGTTGCGAATGCTAACACATGCATTAACGACAAGTTTTCAAATGCAATATTCGGCGTCGTAGTCTACTCAGGTCTTGTCAATGACTTGAAAATAAGACCACATATTGAGTATATGTGCACTATTTGGGGATTTTTTACCCTCGCAATCGTCTTCTCTCCTTGAATCGAGAAGCTTTATAATGTCACATTTTAGTTTTTGTAAAAAACTTCTGTGATATAGGGCTTCTGCTAAGTTCAGCTTTACGATTTTACTATCCATGCTGTGCGAGGTAGTCGCTCTGTCCTACTTGCGAATACTATGTTTTGTTAGTGAAATGTGTCATTAAAATCAATTTCGAAAAGCTAGTATTGTTTTTTTTTCTGATTAACAATAATATATCTACGTCGTCAGTATGAATTAGGAAATAACTACACCGTTCAGATAATGCCATTGTACAAGGTTCTCCATAATCCATCGGGATAAATAAATAATGCAAAACAATTTGACGAGCTTTAAATTAAGTTACATAATAAGATAATGCAAACACATTTTTGTATGATCAAATTAAACCGAAAGTTTCAGAAAAAAATGCAATATCTTCTGAAAATTTCATGTTTTTTTTTCATTGCATATTCTGTAGACGGACAATTATCAGGTTGGGTCTTGAGATTATTTAAAGTATAAGGAAATCGTAATTAACATTATAATCTTATATATACCTTCTCCATTCGGTACTGAGGTATCGTAATCACTGCGTCCGTGCTCGATTTACAAGATATCTCATATTCACGCTATAATGTAAGTTTTGGAGATATTGGTCAAGGCTGTGTGTCATGGATCTCCTTGAACCACTTTGTAAATAAATAGCTCACTTTCAGGGTTTTGCACCGTGCTATAAATAAATCAGTGTTTGTAACACGCGTTCACAATAGCCCTGATCCACCTTGGAGAACAAGTGTTGTCTTTAAATGGTGTTAAGTATTATTACCTATTGTGGGTGTTGTATGAACTCGGGACAGAAAAGAATACACTAGCGTTTCAAATCTGCTGGGAGGCTATTGTCTATTTAATCAGATGGAAAAATGTAATCGAACTGGAACTCCTCTTCAAAACAACATGAATTCCACAAGCGGATCATTTGTAAAATCCCTATTCATTTAATACAATACCCAGATCCCGTTTATAAAATATACTACAAAGCGACCCCGACAACAATGATATCTTACTGTGTCACACAGATCTACAAATGCCGAGTTATCAACATATTGGAATAGATATGTGAACACACTATTAAAGAAATGACATTGATATCTATATATAAAAATGGCCAAGTTATTAACATAAACAGCTTATCAGTTCAGAAAAGTTGCAATAGAGTCAACAAAAGAAAATATATCGAGAACATTTCAAAGATAAATTCATATGAGAAAATGCAAAGCTTAACATATACAATCATAAAATATGAAATAGTCATACACGTATATAATTTACAAAGCAGAAAAATACAAAAACAAACGAAAATGAGTATTTTCCCATATTGAAGCATCGACCCCTTACCAACGGCGGGTTCATCAAGATGAGGTGGGTTGTAGTGCCAAATCCACGTGTCATAAGGATATTCCAAACAAATGCCAGGCCGGGATTTTGGAAGTGATAATTTGATAATGCATGTACCGTTAAATTTTCACCGACTACTACTCCAGTAAGTAAAGGAAAGTGACCTTGTATAGGCATTTGATATAGGTATATAAAGGTATAGGTATTTGATATATAGAGATGTCCTTTATAAACAAGTATTTGTAATATATAGATATGACCTTTATAGACAGGTAATTGGTATATAGATATGACCTATATATACAGGTTATTGGTATATAGAGATGACCTATATATACATGTTATTGGTATATAGAGATGACCTATATATACAGGTTATTGGTATATAGAGATGACCTATTTATACAGGTTATTGGTATATAGAGATGACCTTTATAGACAGGTATTTGTTATATAGAGATGACCTTTATAGACAGGTTACTGGTATATAGAGATGACCTTTATAGACAGATGATTGGTATATAGAATTGACCTTTATAGACAGATGATTGGTATATAGAAATGACCTTTACATACAGGTGATTGGTATATATAGATGACCTTTATAGACAGGTAATTGTTATATAGAGATGGTCATTGAAGAAATATGTGATACAAAGGATGTCTTTATAGACAGGTATTTTGTATACAGAGGCGACTTGTCTTGGGATGTATTGTTAAATACAGGATCCCTGCGATGTGCTCATATCGTGCAGGTACAGATATATCAACATTAAGGGTTCGGGATTAACCAGGCTTCCAATATGCTTGGTGCAGGGTATCAGTGTGGAGCTTAAGTCCTGACTAGTTACAAGTACCAGGTTTGTGATAACTGGTGATTAAATAAGTCCAACACGTTTGAGTGCGTTTTGTGTTACGTGTGCGGATTTAAACACTGACATATAATACGGACGGGTGGAGATGGGCGGGACGGTTCACTTGTACATATACATACTCGTTCTAACACATATGAATTTTACCAGGATGTAGTACCCCGCTAACACCTGTTTCTTACCTACCATCGCCTGTCAGGCATCTCTTTGTAAAGCAGCAGATCAGTATGTACAGGTGATAATGGACGTACAAATTTGTAAGTACACCGTAAAATTAGACAAAAATGCATAAACCTCATTCTAGAATAAGCGTGTTACGATGTGTATTATATACATTATGTACTGATATTTTTGTTGACAGCTCCTTTAAGCTTTTTATTGGGTGATGACAAGGTTTCCAAGTCGTTATTTTATATTCCCTGTTTATTGAAAGTGTTACGTAGGTATATTCGCTATATTGTTGGTAGATGATTTTTATCCAGAACGAGACATACGTAGAACTTTTTGTATATAAGTAAACAAATTAGATCTGAAATTTAAGTTCCCTAATGTAACTATCATTTTGTTGTAAACTCATCGCCTGTCTTTAAAGACGGTTACTGTTTTGTGTAGAGAATCTCTGCCATTTTACACCTCACCCCATTCATATTCTCTTGAAACACTATATTATTCAATGCCTCGCCTACATTACCGGTTCAGCATGCACGTCGGGGGTTAAATTTTTAAAATTTCATTCGTAAAATAAACCTTGAAGCCTTCATTGATAGTTGGAAGGCAGACAAGTACTATTAATGTCTCTTTGGCTAAAATATTCAGAATAAAAAATGCCGGTCATCATGTATGTTTGTGTTTATACAAAAAATATTGTGTACGCAATGTTGAGGTCTTTTGTTAATCAGGCTAGCGTTAAACGTCCACTGATTTGATGTTAGTTTTATTAGACATTCTTTGATAAAAAATAAACCCAGGTATGCTCCGACATAGTATCTTTACTTCACATGGTCTCGTATGGACAAAAGCCAGGTTTATCTAGAGCAAATTATGTGTTCGGAGTATAGTGCTTAGGACAATATCAACCCATTAATATTACCTCGTTAACTTTGTCCAATAAATCATATTTGTCTTTCGGAGATAAAAAAGGTATTTTTATATTTTGAAATAGGCATAAAAACTAAATCACAATGCGTTGAATAGACCATCACATACAGGGCACATAGGCTTGGTTGTTAGGAGGAATATCACGAACAAGCTAATGATTTTGATTACGAGATCATTTCGTTGATGTTTTTATGTTAAATAAAACTTTCGTTTCCTCCCATGAATTCGTTAAACAAGCGAAAATAATTTCGTCATGACAGACACTGGCGCAGTAAATCTAGATCCTTAAAGATTCAGACTGTTCGGTCGGTTGTAATTTCAAATGGCAAAGAAGGGCAGATTCTGTTGGAATTGTTTTAATGTTAGGTAATGGCTGGTTCGGTTGGAACTGTTTTAATGGTAGGTAATGGCTGGTTGGGTTGGAACTGTTTTAATGGTAGGTAATGGCTGGTTCTGTTGGAACTGTTTTAATGGTAGGTAATGGCTGGTTCGGTTGGAATTGTTTTAATGTTAGGTAATGGCTGGTTCGGTTGGAACTGTTTTAATGGTAGGTAATGGCTGGTTCGGTTGGAACTGTTTTAATGGTATGTAATGGCTGGTTCCGTTGGAACTGTTTTAATGGTAGGTAATGGCTGGTCCGGTTGGAACTGTTTTAATGGTAGGTAATGGCTGGTTCTGTTGGAGCTGTTTTAATGGCTGGTTCGGTTGTAAATGGTAATGGAGGACAGGACGCCGTCATTGACATTGTAGGATAAAAACGGGGTTGGTTGGCAATTTGGACAAAACAGAGTGGGATGGTACTATTGATGGCTGTTACAGTCCTGGAGTATAACCTTATTGGTTCTTACAGATCCAGTTACAAAGTTTGGCCAGGATAGATGTAGCAATGTTTCAAAAACGGAATAGGGTGTGATAGGTTGTATTGGTTGCGGAAGTACCAATACTGAAAATAAACAAAATAAATAACTGTATACAACAAATATGATATTGTTACCGTTTTCCCGGTGGTAGATTAGGTCTGGTTAGTTGAACCAGAAAGATGGAAAGGAAAATAGTTCTAATGTCACCATCAGGACCTTACTGGTAAACTCCGTTTCCGTTCGCAATACGATACTCGGTAGCATTCTTGATTGTTGCGTTTGTGTTACCTTTGCTCTCATTTAAGAACATGACATTATTTGTAGCGTGAACATCGTCACCCGGAACACAGGTATCGTTCTCTTTGTTTTTTGTAGCTTTGTAAATCTTTCATTTATTCATTTTTTGCCCTCGTTGAATGGATTTCGAGTTTTTGTTACAATTTTGTTATCTAATATTGATGTCTTTTTTTCTATGACATTGTCAGTAGGTGGGAAAGAAGGGAAAGATTGTAACTGTTTCGTTGAGAGAAAAGTTGTTGGTTATCGGTTTAAAACGATTCATTTTTTAGAAAGGCTTTGATTGAAAGAAATTGAGAACTTTGATGGTAGAGATGAGAGAGACACGGGTTATAACTATTGTAAATAACAGTTATTATCGTCTGTTGAGAACGGATTGGAAAAATTGAATATTGATTTTTAAAAAACACTTATGTTGATTGGTTTCTTTAAGAGAAGAAGACAGTTTTGACTTCAAAATGACGCGTAGAAGATTGTAATGGATGTTGAATACTACCTACTCACAGACGTCGTGAAGGTTGCTACACGGAGAGAATCACTAGAATTAACTTGTATAAGTGTAAAATGGCTATCGTTTTGCACTAGACAGCTGTCGTTGCTAACCAGGCAACATTACTTGATATATAGCACCGATCATCGATAGCAATGAGCCATGGTTATATGTAGGTGGGTGACGTTTGTCGAGCGTGCATAACCGATTTCAAACGGTTCAACGACAATATTACAGCTATTATTATAATGTGCCAATGTGAGTTTTTGGATGTGATTTAGATTTGGCATAAAGATTCTTTGTCAAGGTATGTCGTTATTTTTCTATACCTCGTTGTGTTGACTATACTGGTTGAACGATCAGTCAGGTGTACGTGAGAAGGAAATGATGTGTTATGTTTTCTCGGCACAGTTGTGCATTTACGTGTGTTCAGGCTGTAATATAATATCGCTATTTGAAGAATGTTTATGTCGATCAGGAAGTTCCGGCATAGGTAAGTGATATTCTTGTGTCACCTTTAAATTGATGCAAATCTCTTTATGATATTTAGTATGCCTGTATAGTTAGCTGAGTTATCATGATGATGTTATTGACCTGTGTCGAGACACGATGATGTTACTGACTCTGTTGAGACACGATGATGGTTACTGACTCTGTCGAGACACGATGATGTTACTGACCCTGTCGAGACACGATGATGTTACTGACTCTGTCGAGACACGATGATGGTTACTGACTCTGTCGAGACACGACGATGTTACTGACTCTGTCGAGACACGATGATGGTTACTGACTCTGTCGAGACATGACGATGTTACTGACTCTGTCGAGACACGACGATGTAACTGACTCTGTCGAGACACGACGATGTTACTGACTCTGTCGAGACACGATGATGGTTACTGACTCTGTCGAGACATGACGATGTTACTGACTCTGTCGAGACACGATGATGTTACTGACCCTGTCGAGACACGATGATGTTACTGACTCTGTCGAGACACGATGATGGTTACTGACTCTGTCGAGACACGACGATGTTACTGACTCTGTCGAGACACGATGATGGTTACTGACTCTGTCGAGACATGACGATGTTACTGACTCTGTCGAGACACGACGATGTAACTGACTCTGTCGAGACACGACGATGTTACTGACTCTGTCGAGACACGATGATGGTTACTGACTCTGTCGAGACATGACGATGTTACTGACTCTGTCGAGACACGATGATGTTACTGACTCTGTCGAGACACGACGATGTTACTGACTCTGTCGAGACACGATGATGTTACTGACTCTGTCGAGACACGATGATGTTACTGACTCTGTGGAGACATCGCGACGTTATTGACCTGTGGCGAGAAATCAACATTTTTATTGTATGTACATGTACAAGTGGAATGGTGCAAGCTTCCTGCTTCATTCAGCTGTTATCGTAGAAATAACGAAATGTTGGATTGAATATTTCAGCGCATACGGTATAAAAATTTGTCTTTAAGATTTTTGTGCATTAATTTTGATTAAACATCCTGGTCGACACAAGAGAGACCCTGTATCAGAGAAAAGTGATATGATATATTGAATGTGTGCGTTAAATGACTCATCAATCTGGAAAAATGTAATATTTTTATAGGAAACATTATTTGTTCGGAGGACAAAGCAAAATAGGATGTCTGTATATATTCCAGGGCTAGTAAAAGCCCCTTTAAATCGACCATAATTAGGTTTTATTAATTCGTGTGTTAAATTCTGTAAATTATATGAAAACACTGGTAAACCTTATTGTAACTCCGTACTGAAGTGAATGTACATTGTGTATTACAGACACGCGAGACTCGCATAAGTCATTGTTCACATTCTCACTAGAAGTCTGACAAAAATCATTAACGAATTTCTGATGATTGAAAGACCTAGTAATGTACACACGTCTGCATCCCATTTAAGAACATACGACAAGGATGATTGATATATCAGAATAAATTTTATAACAACAGCCCTGGTTAAATATTTCGAAGATGACATCAAAACAGGTAACACTGACCTTCCGTTATCCCTTAGAATTTCATTTATTATTACTATTATGAAATTAGTGGTTTATTATGTCTTCACAAGACAGACACCGACCATGTCCATTGAATATATACACCGGTATCTGATATTAAAAGATAAACTGCTCAGCAGTTTTCAGATATTTTGGAACATTTTCTTCAGGTTGATAATGTCAATATGATGGAAGTTCTTATAAGACAACCACTAGAAGATTAGAATGAGACCTTTCGATCTCTAAACGATCACATTCATCAGACAAATGACCAGTGTGCATTGCGTACGTCAGTGCTAGATCAAGGTGGCCGTGTAGTCATCTTAACGTCACACTCTAATCTTCTACTGGTTGTGTTATAAGATGAAGGTGGCCGTGTAGTCATCTTAACGTCACACTCTAATCTTCTACTGGTTGTGTAATAAGATGAAGGTGACCGTTTAGTCATCAAAATGTCACACTCTAATCTTCTACTTGTTGTGTTATAAGATCTTCTATTCTGTCTTATATACTTTCGAAAGATATTGTTGACGAAAACTATGTGGGAGGTTTGTGGTATTCATCATGATCTTATTGAGAAATTATTTTTTCCATTGTGCAAAATGAAATTAAATGTGTACGATTTTAAAAAGCAGGCTCTCATTTGAGGACTTAAAATTACTTTGATATGACGATGATTTGCATTGTGGTCAATTAATTAGACGATGTCTTAATTTCCTGACATTCTTGGGTTTCCATGCTATCATTTATTTCGTGAGTATTTCCTTTTGTTTTTTTAATGACATTTTTGTTAAAATACTGGTACTGTCTAGCCGTTTTTTTCTGACAAAGCACCTAAAACAGATATGTAGTACTGCTCCAGCCAGCAAGTCTTTTCACTATACATCTTTTGTTAACAATAGTGAAATTCATCGTAGTGTTAGTTTCTATCTCTGAGCAGAAATTTAATTTACTGCGGTGAGATAGTCTTGCTTTAGGGACCTGTGCAGTGTAATCTGTCATTACGACGTGTGCACGCCCAGTATTCAAATAGCGGCTCCCGGCATTAGGTAAACACAGTCTAATATTTGTATATTGTATTGCAGTTTTAAACATCGTTTTTATCGGTGGGATCAATACCAAGAAATAATTTATGATGTTACATTTATTTTGAGAAACTAACTGGACTTCGCGTATCATATTTGGTAAATTCACTGTTTTTTTTTTAAATATAGATACGGTGTATTTTTATCAATGCGCTGGGACATTTTTTTTTTATAATAAAAATCAATTAGCGGTGACACATGTTTCATTAAATGTGTTATTATTACGATTACTATTTAAATATGGTAAATGGCCCTTAAATTCTCGGTCACTCTTCCTGACGGCAAGAGGGTGATTTTTTGCAAAAATAATATCTCAATTTCTCATAAGCTTGCAATCAATGACCTGTGATTCATATAAGCTCATAGGGAGTGATCATTCGGAAAATCTACAGTTAATGTCACGCCGGAGTATCTAAAGAAATATACACAGGAACACACACCATGCTTTAGGAATATCTTTGATATTAGCACATGATTACTTTGATACGGAATTTCAATCGTTTTCGGATTTAAATCGCCATTATCACTGCAGCGCTGCTAATCTTTTATAAAGGTAATCTCGCTAGATAGAAAATCGGCCGGCTAACTTGCTTTCAATAACACCAGATTAAATATCGAGGGTGAAAGCACATTCTTGCGTAAACTTGTTTTTAGCCTACCATCATCAGATGGTGGAGTATTCAAATCGCCCTGCCGTCCGTGGTCCGTGGTCCGTCCGTCCGTCCGTAAACAATTCTTGTTACCGCTATTTCTGGAAAAGTACTGGATGGATCTTTCTCAAATTTCATATGCAGTTTCCCCTTAGTCCCTAGTTGTGCATTGTACCTTTTTTGACTGATTCGAATTCAAGATGGCCGACAGGTGGCCATCTTGGATTTTGGATATAAAAGTTTGTTACGACTATTTCTTGGAAAGTACTGGATGGATCTTTCTCAAATTTCATATGCAGGTTCCCCTTGGTCCTTAGTTGTGCATTGTACCTTTTTTGGACTGATTCGAATTCAAGATGGCCGACAGGTGGCCATCTTGGATTTTGGATATAAAAGTTTGTTACGACTATTTCTTGGAAAGTACTGGATGGATCTTTCTCAAATTTCATATGCAGGTTCCCCTTGGTCCTTAGTTGTGCATTGTACCTTTTTTGGACTGATTCGAATTCAAGATGGCCGACAGGTGGCCATCTTGGATTTTGGATGTAAAAGTTTGTTACCGCTATTTCTTGGAAAGTACTGGATGGATCTTTCTCAAATTTCATATGCAGGCAACCATCTTGGATTTTGAGAGTAAAATCTTCTTACTGCTATATCTGAGGAAGTACTGGATGGATCCTTCTGATATTTCATAGATATTGGTTTCCCTTGGTCCCTAGTTGTGCATTGTACCTTTTTTGGACTGATTTGAAATCAAGGTGGCCCACAGGCAGCCATCTTGGATGTCGACAGTAATACAGCACAAGCATATTGTCCATTATCCACCTGTAACTGACTGCTATCTAATAATACTTTGGGATCTTTTTCAAATGATATTTGCTAATAGGTGCTTAATAAAAGTATCTTGTGCCATCATTGAGTACATTCAATGAAGACCAGTTCATGAACATTTACAACACCTGTAACAAACAAAAAAAAATAAACAAATCTTTAAGAACTGAAAACAGATCCTCAAATGGTGGGCGCCAAGATACCTCTGGGATCTCTTGTTTAGATAATGCTTGTAAATTACAATATACATAGCAATGGGTATTTTACTTGAATCTAGTAAATGTAGTTTTGCGACGATGCTATAAGGAAGGTAAACGTTTCAGAGAACCGTCCTTACATCAGGATTGACGTGTGCTTGTTTTGAAAAAAAAAATATTGCGGAAAAAAGCTAACATTAACATTCATACATCCGGTATGGCATGATATATTGCATGTATAGAAAGAATCACAATGTATAAGAAGCTGCACACGTGCATACTGGTAAGTCCATGTCAAGAAATATGGGTTCGTGTATGATTTTTTATCTCAAAATATACAGATTACAAAGGTATAAATGAAATCAAGTTGCTTACTTATAAATTATATAGATAGTATATATATATATTTACCAATATAGATAGTATATCTATTTACCTATGTACATATTAATTTTATTTACCTATATAGATAGTATATATATTTATCTATATAGATAATATATATATTTACCTATATAGATAGTATATATATTAACCTATATATAGATAGCATATATATTTACCTATATAGATAGTATATATATATATTACCTATATAGATAGGTTATATATTACCTATATAGATAGCATATATATTTACCTTTATAGATAGTATATATATTTACCTATATATGTATATAGTACATATATTTACCGATATAGATAGTATATTAATTTACCTATATAGATAGTATATATATTTATCTATATATATAGATAGCATATATATTTACCTATATAGATAGCATATATATTTACCTTTATAGATAGCATATATATTTACCTTTATAGATAGCATATATATTTACCTTTATAGATAGCATATATATTTACCTATATAGATAGTATATATATTTACCTATAGAGATAGTATATTAATTTACCTATATATATAGTATATCCAGTTCCTTATATAGACGGCAGCATTTCAGCTCAATTCAAAGGCGTGATTACCTGTGACTGAAAATGTCATTTTATTTGAATTATGATTAGCAAATACAAAGATAACAAATACAATACAACTTGATTTTGTGACTCTTAATAATCTTATGATATAAATGAAAAAAAATGACACAATTCATATATATATTCTGATTAATTATAACTGTTGACTGAAATAACTTAAGTTGATTATGTTGGCAAGTTGGTATTTTCTTGGTGTTCTTTTAATGAATGACTACATTGTATCTATCAGTTACAAACGTCGACGTTATTTTCAAAACTACGGGTATCTGAGGTTACTAGAGATATTGACATGTCCATTGCGTTTTCCATCAGAGGTAGTGTGTGTTCAGCAATGTTTGTTGTTTTGACAGATGGAAAAGACATTCCGAAAGGACATTTAAATTTGATGTTTCATGTCGTTGATTGACTAAGGACAAATATCACATTGTTAACACGTTTTATCACCCTTGAAAGACGTGAAGTCTGAGAATGCACATAATTTATAATATAAAGCAAAAGATACGAAAATGAAATTAAATCAGTATTATTATAAACATTTCTACGTGTTGTGAGAAGAAATGACTGATTGATTGGACCTTACTTTCCGTATAGCGGTTCAAACTACAAGCCGTTTTAATTGTTTATTGATACACATATTCAAACGTGACAAATATTGAATTGTATGTAGATATATAATACCTGCTGAGACTTTCCCTTGATTTCAGGAATGTTGGATCAATGGGTAGGCCTATCAAGATGGAGTAAAGTTATATCATGTAGAGGCCTTTGCAATTGGTAACAAATCATTGCAGGCTGATCATGTAGATAAAACATAGCAACAATTTATAGAAATTTTATTGATAGAATCAATAATTACTGACTTGTTTTCTCATTCCAGAAATGACTTGATATAGAGCACTCCTCAGGCGAAGATCTAACAATGTTGTTGGGAAGGCGGAGGACTTTTCGCGTCTGTACATACGGGAGTGTCCTGGTCTCGGTATTCTTTCTATTTATTTTGCTCCAAGTCCTAGTGTCACCAGACGAGGAAATCAGTCACCTAGTGTCGGCTGGCAGTAATAGGCTATTTACATATGACACAGAAACATCGATTCTGGATTATCCTGCCGATGACGATAGACTAGTTAAATATGTCCGCGACACATTCATCAAGCCGTACGATAGGAGACCAGGCGTGCAATACAACCTTACTGAGATCAAACAGAACTCAGATTATTCAAGAGGACAGAGCAAGATCATTGATGAACATCTAATGAAAAAGGTGATCATATTGCTGTATAATGATCCTGATCAATTTCCGTTCTCTAGTCTATGCTTGTACCATACAACAGAGGACGAAACAGAATGTCATCAAACATTTACCTGATAGTTAAATTCTTCTCCGTCATTATTTTGTAGTCTTACCCTTTTCCTAATAAGTTTGGCCCCGGTTTACTTTATAATTCCCCAACCCCACCCCACCCCTTTTTTGAAGTGTATATCTTTGTACTGAATAGTTGTTTGATTTCGCAGGGTATGGTATTCAGCGAATTTTTAAAGCCCGAGAAATAATGATTCTTCACGATAAATAACCCTCAATCCACGCGAAAAATATCGGTTGTTTGTTTTACTGGGCTGAACTAAACTACTATTCGGATGCCAAGTAATATTTGAAAATAGTCTTCCTTCTCTTTAAAGGAAAAATAAGGAAACCGGTTGTAAGATACTTCTAATAAAATATGTGTAAAGCATACGACCCTGTTTAGTCAGATCAATGTGGAAGGAGCTGTAGTTGTTATCAGTCCTTTGATTGGGCTCTCTCGAGTGTTTCTTAAGGGATCATATATTAACGGTGACAGTGAAAGCAATTCATATACATTATAAAAGGTATGTCAATATTTATCTCAAATTCTCATCAATATGTTTACCGAGAGTATACAAACTATAAAAAGTTGAAAGGGAAATGTTTAAATACATTCTGAATCGCATATGCATTGGGATAGGGGACCACTAGATTCGCATCATTGAACACTTGAAATGCTATCATCATTAACTACACCTTAATATACGTGACGCTTAAAGAAAACTAAATAGGACATAGTCAAATGCACTGGTGCACGTAAAAGGTAGAGAAAATAACCGTAGCGTGATTTACATTACACTACCTAACCATAGATAACAAATCTCTTTAATACATTTGAAGTCTCTTTTTTAAAAAACAAATCATCAATCCAGTAATGAATTTATCGAAATGCGAACTATATATACTGTTGACATGATTGATAAGGAGATACTGGGATGCGGCATTGTAGATATTGACAACAGGTTGAAACATTATTGAAGCATGATTGTTTTTTAGTTCATTTATTTTCATTTCGACCAATTTTGATTTCTTCACTTGCCAACCAGGTCACAATAACAAGGCCCGTAGCATCACTGATGCAGTTTAATGTACTGTTTGGTTCTGCTGTATCTAATTTCAAACTCTATTTTTTTTCTTTTTGCAAGATGTTATTCAATAGTATATTTTTGCAAATTTTATGAAGAGGTTTTTTTTTTCTGTTTTAACTAAATTTACTATGTCGATATGAACACAAATCGGTAACGTCCACATTACATGTATTAAGTTGCGATTCTCAATTTTGTGTTTCTGACTTTATGAAAGCAATTTATCGGTAAAATATGAAAAACTGCTCTATGGCATTTGAGTTAATAAACAACAATATACGACATAAAATATATCATCATTAATGTTGCTTGATTTTCAATACTGCTTTAATAAATAAACGCATTCCATCCTGATTTAAATTACTAGTGTGTTTCTTCCTCTGAAATATCGTTATTATCGTCAAAATCAGTTTGCAAACTGTTTCCTTATTTTTATACATCCCTGAACACTAGATCTAATTTTTAACCTTAATACTTTAGATTTGGAGAGAATATTGTGTTTATTTTCATCAACAAAGGATAAATGAAATATATGACATATGTCAAAGATAATTTTGTCAGGCTGAGTGGTGTATTTATACTTATGCTACTTGTTTGCATAACAGTAAATTACTTCGGTCATAATTTTTTTGCTACCTAATTAATTTATGCTTCTTGTCGTAAGTATATTTTAAATGTATTCCTCCTTCCTGAAAAAAATAAATCATTTCTTTTTTAAAAAAAAAACTACATTTAAAATTAATTAACAACTGGTACCAAGTACAATATACAGTGATATTTTCTTCCGGGTTATCTTTTTTATTGTACCATTATACACGAATTCGGCTCATGTTCATTTCGCTCTCTGGGAAACATTTCCCTGCCCATTTAGAATTTTCTTTTCTGTTCATGGACGAGATGGGCGAACATTTCTAGGTATACAGTATCCACTAAAACAATTTGCTATCCCTCCAGAATAACAGTATCATACAAATATCTCTACAGTTTCTGTGTAAAACGTGACTCGAGCAATACATTGTTTCATTTCAGCGTGTCGGCTATTATGTTGATGTTGGTGCAGGCGACGGAGAACATCATTCTCTGACATTATTTTTTGAAATGGAAAGAAGTTATAATGGCCTGCTTATAGAGCCATATCCTAGCCGGTACAAGACCCTCCTGACAAAACACAGAAAAGCACACTCATTACAGGCCTGTGTCAGGGTAAGATCATTTAAATAAATATACCACAATATGTAATTAAGAAAGCCCGTTAGAGGGTAGTATTATCCAGAGTCTAATTCTTTCAGATTGTTTGTACTATTACTAATAGTTACGTATCAGGTGGCAACCTCTGACTTTGCAAGATGATTGTGGCTTCTATCATTTTAAAAAAAATATGGTTTTCAACATTTCTCAAAAATAAACTAGTAGATATTTTGCATTTTCCATGCTTTCGAGTGATGCTTGTTTAACCTTAAGTAATTTGGAGAAAAAGAAGGGCAAAAATTATCTTTGATTTTGTTTGCTACTGTCTTTTTTCTAGAAGCGATTTCTCAAAATGTTTGGTTTTACCTTTTTAGACAAACAGAACAGGAAGCCTTAAGGAGTACCTCGCCGTCAAACAGAGGACGTCTTCAGTCGTTCCCTGTCTCTGGATGGAGACCGTACTCTCTGCTGCAGGAGTGAAAACCATCGACATCCTTAGTATAAACGTACGAGAAGAAGAAATGGAGATACTCCATGCCATTCCATTTGACAAATTTAACATCAGAGTGGTTTCAATTGAATTTTCTCACAATAGCAACGCTTATGTAGATGCTCTTAAGTTCATGTCGTCATTGAATTATGTAGTTATTCATCAGTTTGTGTATCATCCATTGCTTAAAGTTGACTTTATTTTTGTAAAAAAAACAAAAGCAAAGTTATAACTAAAATGATTTGAAATATTTCAAATGTTATGATATATTGTTAACAATTAATTGCCATATATGGTAACTCATATCCAAGCGCCCGTCTTAATTACTTACTATATGTAAACAATGTTAAATATCTATACATTAAAAATAGCTCATGTAGTATCGTTGTAACATTTTTCAGCAACTGTTGATTTTTATAACGAAGAGCTATTTGTAGTTTTTCTGACGCCTTTTCACCAAGTGCATTCTGTCTTTACCAAATGCTCTTTTTACTTTTACTAATGTTACATCATTACATTTCGTGAGAAAATAACGTCGCGTTCCCCAATGGTACTCTTACCTGCTAACAGGAGCAGATAACTTTGCATTACGAAAAGACCGAATTCTGCCGCTGATATCAGTAAAGGAGTTGTGCGTCGCATGAATATATATATCTCGATAAGACAGTTATGAAAATTAACATATACATATACTTGTAACCAAAATCAGATTACCGAAGGGATACAATTCAAAATCAGTGTTATCATGTTACTATGATTGGTTATAATGTGTTTGGTATGAAAGTACTGTTTAACTGGTCATCTCTTTATATTAACTCCATACTCCTGGAGTTACGATCACCTTCGCTCTCAGCACCCTTGGAACATGTCATGACAATATTGAAGGTACTATGTGTGACACATTCTGGACATGACAACAAGACTATCGAGGTCGCATAACGGTAAATTTTAATGGCGTTGAAGTTTGGTATCGCTCCTTTGTTACCTAAAAGGAGCGTATCAGCCTGTGATTGGTAGATATTTCTCATAGCACAAATCAAATTACTTAGCTTGTGCCTTCAATTTTGCCATGAATGCAGAGTTTAGAGATTAATTCACTTGCGTAGTCAGAATTTTGAAATATCACCAAAATAAGTATGATAGATAAAATATCGTAATCATCATGTTGTTTGAAAATGCATTCATCATATTTTGTATATGATAATACCTGACAAATATAGCGAACTGAAAGTCGACTTAAGTTAATTAATGTCTAAACAGCTACTGTCAATTAAGTTTGTTTGCTGGGGTTGTTTTACAGGTAATTACTTGGATAATGTTGAGGCAGAGCCTCCTTGTAGTTACTGGTAGCTACCAAACTGAGCACACATACGGAAGGCTTATGTCTTGTCATCCAAATCATTTGAAGTACAAATGACTATGTAACCGGCGTTTTTTTTTTATATATAACACCCCCCAAACCCCAGAGAAACAAAACAAAACACCAACCCCATCCCCCTACTAAAACTACCTTACTCTGTGTTTATAGATCCCTCTACCGTCGGCGAACTCCTCGGTGAAATGTAATGTCAACATCATATACATGCATGATTTATGAGTTTCTATTTGAAATGCATGTTTTTCTGGTAGATTTTAATTGATTTCACGTGACATTTATTGAGTTGTGCATTTGAAATTCTTGATCATCAAATTATGTTTAATTCAATTATTCATTATTTCTAAGTGCCTGTGGTTTATAAAAATATCAGATCACACTTTGCCTGTATTTGATTTTTTAACAGAAATGGCTGATATAGCATGTACTTTCTCTTGTATTTGAAATATAAAATGTATATCAAAGCGATATTCTAAGCATTATTTATGAATCAGTAAGGTGGTATTATCTCCACTTGCGTAAAAACATTCAAGCTGAAGCTGAGGTAAGCAGCTGAAGGCCATGAACTGGTGAAGTTTGTCCATAAGCCACCAGGTACACATTTTTATTGTTTGCCTGATTGCTTATGGGAAAAATTAGTCAGCAGTGCCACTAAGCAAAAAAAAAAAAAAAAATATATATATATATATATATATGTGTGTGTAATCTGTGGTAGTTGATGCTATCGTTCAGTGAAGACCTGTTGTTCAGACAACATATTTTCCTAGAATCAGTTCATCATTGAATGACACAGGAGTTAATGTTTAGCTAACGGGAGCTGTTATATTCTGTGGTCTACTATTGGCACTTTGCACTACAATTCGACACCTTAGTTATCTAAGCATATTCATAAGTATTGTTGTTTCTATGGCTGCTTGATTTATTTACCAAAGACACAGAATACCATTGTCTGTATTTCTTTTGGATATTTTAGTTATTTTGTTATATTGCTTATGGTAAAAAATGGGTCATGCATGTGTTATCCCTAAGTTGCAAATAAAGAATTTCAAATAAGCAAGAAGCCAGATTCTCCTCGAAATAATTGATGGAAACATATGCTTATCACAGAGGAGCTCCCTGTGGAGGGTGAAAGATTTATGTGGTAAGTGTTACTAGATATACCTTAGAAAAAGATCACGACCTACTTAAAGGACGACAGACAGTGTTATAATGAGTCTAATGTTACTTGCGATTCTTTCAAGGAGACTTAGGATAATCTAAATGACAATGAAACAAAATGCACTCATCTGTCTCTTTCTACATCGCATAAATGCCAAAGTCTGTCCGTCACTCTCTTATCAATGAATATTCACTTTGGTGCTCTAATGATGCTCGTGAGTGTTCTGAACATCTCATAGTATGCATTCTACATCCTGATACAACGTTCAGTATAAACAATTATGTTCCTCTGCAATGTAAACTGAGTGGTGTTATTTCCTAGGTTGTAGTCGATGATTTTCTGGAAATCGTACGTCATGTATCCAAACATGATAATTCCCTAAAATAAGATTTAAAAATGTATCATACTAAGACTGCTATGAATGGATTGGCTAGACCTTGGGTCAATTTAAGGACATGTATGCCATGTGTAGTGTGGGAGAACAGTGACGCTACCTATACAAACAAGGGAGACAATCACGTACAATATTTACAATTTATTTGCACAAATATACACCAATATACATTTGAATATATATCGTCTCTTGACTACACACACATTTACACTCCTCCTGATGAAAACTCTCACACGAATGAATATTCACAATATGACGTTAAAGACTATAACTAGAGTTCAATATCCACGGCCTTGGAGTAAGAACACAGAACGAAACGTTCATCAATCATGTAGTCGTTGTCGTCGTCCTGGCTACCTATGTCCTGCAACCCGCGCGTGTAGAAAAGCTTAATACTTCAACGTGACGTAATGACGTTTATGGCGTCACAGCATTAAGATCTATAACCCTGTCCTGCTCAGGATCGTCACCAACGACATCACTCAGAATTGTCTTCACTGCTTCTACAGATGATGGAAAGTCCCCACAGTATACTGAGGCCGCAGCGCTCAGGCCCCCAGATCTCCGACTCCTATATGCGTTGCGTGCATTTTGGATAGGCAGTCCGGCGAGAACCTCACTGTACCATGGAACCAATATAGTTTCTTGGGACGTATGCTGGTTGTCTCATCCACAACGTGGTAAGGCCGTTCCAATGTAGGTCATGCCCCCAATGTATAAACCAGACATCCCGATCCTTGATAGTTTCTTTCGCAACCAATGTCTGGTTCTCGGCCCGTAAACCTGACACGTATCACAACCTCAATGTTCCGTGACCGCGTGTCAAACACCCACCCGGTGGTGCCTAATTTCCGGGTCGGGATATGAAAATATCCGGAAATTTATAAAAACGCCAAAAAATAATTAACCACGAAATATGAATCGTGACACCATGCGTGTATCTGACCTTGTTTCAGCTTCAAGGTCCATTCCAAGTGCAATAGACCTGTTTCTATAATTTCGGGCGAAACGTAAATGTAATGATTCATGGAATAAAATGACCATGCTTACTAACCTCTTCAACAACACACTGTCAAGATATTTCACAAAATTGTTGATATATTGAACACTTTAGTTGTCCCCAAGCAGCTTGGTACAGCCTATATATCACGCCAAGAAACTGTCACACCCAATACTGTATTTACCATAGCATTTTATGGTAAACAGGTCACTCTTATCTTAGATGGTACCTATATCTACCCCAACAAAAGATCAACAGTTTCAAAGGGCATCATATGAAGGGCAAAAATAACGCAACTTTTTTAATTTCTTGTCCGTTGTGATGCCTGATGGGTATGATTTGGACACAATTGGTCCCTATCACGGCAGGGTAAACCATGCATCCATAACTCTTCTTTGAAAACAATCGACATCCTGAAATCTTTGCTACAAGTAAATGACAGTGTAATTATGGATCGTGGTTTCAGAGACGTCTTAGATCTTTTAGCTGGGATATGATGCTGGGATGCCTTTGTTTTGTATCAGCTGGAAAATCTCAATTGAACTCTCAGACAGCCAATGCTTGTTACACCAAAGCACAATGGGCTGTAGTGTCCTATCAAATTACTTTATTGAGATCACTGGTAGGTTAGTTTTCATTGTATCTGCATGAATGAATGAGGACCCATTTGATTCAAAACCACTTCGAGTCGAACAAGATACTGAAAAGGATAGGCTAATGCATTCGCTCCTACAAAGACAAAGCGAGTTGGTGAAGATCACAACATGAAACGTCGACCTAGAAATGAATGACAAAAGTATCTGATATATCATTTCCTCGTGTTCATCTGAGGTAATTTGAGACCATCACGTGCGGTACGTACCAAATCAAACTGTTACCTGGTTACATTGTGGAACATCAGACAATTAACGGCAATTATGAGATTTGGGTCCACCAGAACGTTGATAATCTCATTCGAGGACAGATTCATTCTTGACAAAGTCTCAAACGAAGTACGATGCCTGGATTCAGATTGATGAGAATGAATCTTAGAGATCCTGTCAAGGCATGTTATTGTTTATGTCCTGCAGGAATGAGACCGACTGGCATGTGTGCCCACGTTGCATCAATGATATATTACATGGGGTATAATATGCATTTGGAACATCCAAAACCAATGCAATCACAAAGTAACAAACGTAAATATTCTATTCTAAGAACCTACCCGCCAAAGAAACAGAAAATAAGTACCAGAAATCTTAGTCGACAAAAGTAATTAATATTTTTGAATCTTTAACATTGTGTGCCTGAAGTATAGCTACAAT